TATATAATTGTAGCAACAGACTATTTAACCAAATAGCTTAAGGCTTAATCTATACCAATAGCCAATTCACAAAATACCTAATTTTAAAATAATTGAGTTTAATCATTTGTTTTGATTTTTAGATTAATCTAGATTAATCAAAATTTCATGATTTTGATTGATTAAAAATAATATATGATTAATGGATATTCTCATGATGCACTTGGCTTTAGGAAGCTCAGTATAATTTTTCTTCTATATTATTACAACTTTTTATTATACAAGTTGATCTTTATTTATAATAGAAAAATATTGACTATGTTGAACTATATCTAAATTTAATAAAAATTTAATTTTTATTTTTTGAATAGTTTCTGCCTTTTCTATTGCAGAGTGCCAAATATTCTTTTCTGTTATTGTATTTAACTTATAATAATTTATACAAATCTTTTTTTTCTTATTTTTTTAGAAACTATAACTACTAGTAATCTCCAAAATTCTTCTACAGCTCAAATTATATCTAATTTCTCTATTTTCGATATTTCTTTCTGTAGAAATTTTTGTGTATCTAGAGAAATTCGATATAGCTTCTGCTTAATCAGCACAGTATTCTCTGTATTGATATAATATTAGACTATATTAGTACAATTTAATCTTATAGTCTAGCCTTCTTCAAATATATCTGTAGTGAAAATATCATAGTTTTTAACTAATAATTTGCAAGCTTCTTGTCTTTGCTTAGTAGTGACTTTTAACTTGATATTATAATATATTTCCTGATCATTTTGATTTAACCCTTCTATAGATTTAGCAAGATATATAGCTAAACTAAATTCATCTTCCCAAAAGTTATAATACAGATTATCTTCAGATTTGGTACTTAATTCATCTGAGAAGAAGGTTTTTAATTTTTTTTCTTATCCAATTTATCGATCTATTAGTCTTTATCAAATTCATCTTCATTTTCTTCAAATAGTACTGGTAGAATAATACTGGTATGTATAGTATTGATAGTTGCTTGTTTACTATAATACTTAATATGTAATATATATTTTTCAAAATCTAAAGTTGTACTTGATTTATTAAACCAATCTGTCTCTAATAATAAAGCTTTATCCTTTAATTCTATTACCTGTAGGTTTATTGGCAGTGCTGTTACAGGACAGTTGTGGACAATAAGTTTGAACACTTTGGACAATTTTAAACAATTAAATAAATTAAAATTACTCAAAATTTTATTAAGATAACCTATA